ACACACACACACACACACACACGACACACACACACACACACACTCACACACACACACATACACACACGCTGAATGGCTAGCTTTTTTTGCTTGGTCTTGAATGTCCAGCAAAGCAGGCATGTGCTCTTCTGTTGTGACTATAGGATGATTGAATGTTAACGTGTGACAGAGCAGGTATGAAACATCAAAATCTATGTGACAGCTCCATGATTGGTCATCATATATCAACATAGCAAAAATGCACGTGATTCCAAAGGCAGTATAGTTCTGTTATTGTATGTATTCATCTGCGTATAAGTATGCCATGTATCTAGAGAATGGCACGCTGCACTTAGATGAATAGCTAGTTTATAGCCTAAATGACCATGTGCGTCACTTTGTAAAACTTGTTCAAACACCGTTCCATATTGATTGTACTTGAAACTGCCTTACCTTTATTTCATCGTAGCATTGTGTATGTTTCTATGTGCTCTTCTGCCACCTTCATCTCAATGCCCTTGTTTCGTACGGGGACACCAAGTTGAGGAATGTGTAAGATGATATAATACAAATTACCGCCACGCAGATGATATAACACAAATTACCGCCACGCAATGGTACACGATCCGAGGGATGCCAATTTATTGTTTTCTCAAAGATGTTAATATAACGCACATAGCTCCGTTGTATTTGTACAGAATCCGAGTGATATCAACCCTCCCAACGTATTCGGTACCATGAAAGGGCACGAAGGCGAGGCAAAAGCATCTGGCGTGGGATTTAACAGCAATAACAATAATACCAACGCCTTTGGTAGTAATAATAGTAACAATAATAATAATAGTAGCAAATCCAATCCGTTTGGTAGTAACAGTAATAATAATAACAGTAGCAGTACGAATGCATTTGGCAGTACGACTGGGGGTGGGTTTGGGAAGAATGCCTTCAGTGCGCTGTCTACTGATGCACCTGCGCCGTCTACATCGGCATTTGGAGGCTCTGCATTTGGCGGAATCGGTATGTCAAAATAGAAAAACATTAAATTTTTACTATAGATATAAGTACATGTGTTTTCATTCTAAAGATGGTTAGATATATAAATATATG